ATTAGGCCACTAAAATGACGTGTACCTTAAATGTTCCAAAGATTTGGATTCGTGTACTTTTGTTTTTCTGTTTGCCAATTATCAGTGATATGTAATTACTTATAGCTACTTACCTTTCCACTTTTGTTCTACTTTAGAGATAGGGTTGAAGATGTGAAAAGGGAAGAATGAATTTTTTTTTTTTTTTAACAAGGGTAATGATTAATAATTAGGTTAGGAATTGTTAATAATTAAGAATTTGATTTGTTATAACAAGTGATCTTTCAACTCCTCATTGAGGCACGCAATCCATCGAGTCGCGTGGTGAAGTTCGTGAAAAGGAAAGAATTAATTCAATCAAATTGGGTACTAGGATTAAAAAGTGTAAACATTAATTGTCGAGGTCAAGAAAGAAAGATGATGCCAGTACAGTAAAGACATGATCACATGCGTGCTATGATTTTCAAAAGCAGTAAGATCGTGTTGACTGATTTTTTTATCATTGAGATGAAATCTTGCACATGGACTAGTTACATAATACTATCCCTATCAATAAAGACGCCCTCAGAAGGTCAAAATAAAAACAAATAAATAAATAAATAACTCTTTAATCTTAATATAGACATTATGCCCTTAATTAGCAGAATAGAAGAGATGTTTGGATCTTGACCTTCAATCAGTGTTATATATGGCCAGGAGCCATGGTTGCAGGATCAGTATTAAAATTTTTCATGAGGTAGTAATAATATTATGCCGAAGTGGATTAGTGCGTTCGACTTTGAATAGAAAGGACGTGGGCTTGACTGCAACTGTGGTCGGGATTTTACGTTTTACCTTCGAACAGATTGGACCTAATTGCCTCAAACCTTGCCCAGAATATCTTTAAAGCCCGATTGTTTGCCCTGCCCCCTCTTATTCATTTCATTATGAGCTATGAGCCTATAACTTTATCGGACAGGAAAGCCCAAAATATGGCCGATCTATCTGTCAATAATCTTGCCACGGGGGCTACGACTCTACGAGGC